ACCGCAACCTCAGACGAGTCAGTCCGCTCCAGCAGAACCGACAACCTCAACCGACAGCACTCCTACTCGCCCTACTATCAATCGACGCGGTAGGAAGCTCAAACCTCCAGTTCGATTTTCGGACTTCGTTAGCACTCACTATTTTACATAGAACGTGCCTTTGAAATTTTCTGCTCTTACCAAACGTTTTCGAAAATCCACAAAAAAGATCAAAACGTTTTGAAACTACCAAAAAAGAGCAAAACCTTTTGAAAACCCAAAAACAGCTTTGCACGTTTTTCGCTTTGCACTCTTTTGTGTATTGCTATGCATTTATGCTGCTTTTTCATTTTGCTTTCCATATACACCGCCGGTTGGTTGCACCTCGGTTTCACTTTCGCTGGATCCCCGCACGTCAACTGGAAGTGGAACGAACTTCCTGCTCAACCGCATACGTGAACTTTACTAACTGTCCCCCCACAAACAGTTTTTTACCGTTTCGACACCGTAGGGAGGACACGGGTGGGAGCCCGCTAGGGTCCGATTGCATGGTTCTCCCCCAGCAGCTGCATCAGGTTTCACAACCTGGTCTCGCAGAAGGCTGGCCCGCGACGGACAGTCCTCACGTAGATCGAAGGACTGCTTACACAGTCCCTTCTGGGAGAGGGCTATGTAGCAGTCTGGAGATTCCCCGGTTTGCCTGTGTAAAATTCTAACTAAAATTATTTCATTGTACACCTAGGCAACCGGTGTGGTTTGTTGAACTGATTGCTGAGTTCGAATGCTTGACTTGCTCATCGCCATTTTTGCTTGGCGCTCGTTTCGGTTGCAACTCGCAACTGCCCTGTGTGCTGTGCTTGCTCCGTTCCCCTAGCTAGAGCGTCCACGGTGTCGTTCCTTTATAGCTAGATAACAGGGAATCTTTTACTGTACCAATAAAAGTTTCCCTGCAACTCGATCCGTCTTCTCGAATCGCTCTCTGGGCTCCCGGTACAGGCGACCCTCTAAACCTTGAATTTCTGATCAATATCGAGTAAGGTAATTCTTTTTAGCTGGATAAAGGTACTACTTGGATTCACTCGGAACTGCTTTAAGGAGATCATGTGAAAACACCTAGTAACTCACACAGATTGGCCAACAGGCAACAATTGCCCGAACACTAGAGACCCTACCGATCGACATCTGCTGCTTATCGGAAACCCGCTTGCAAGATGCGAGTGACATGATTACCCTGCGACCCCCACAAAGGACACAGGCCGCGGGTTCTCACTGCGCTGCTTTGGAATTAATGCAGCTTCAAGTAATGGTCAAGTCATTGTGGGCATTACTGTGAGTCCACGGGCTAAATCTGCTCCGGCTTATTGGATCCCATTGAACAGCCGGATGTGCGCTGTTAGATTAGCTGGTTCGTTCAGAGCTTCGAACTCGTACGTAGACAAATTGTGTTTGCTAATCATTTTGGCCTACGCGCCCATAAGTTGTAGCGTTGATTCGATGAAAGATGAATTCTATCACCAACTGAACGAGTTCCTTCGTTACATAAAACACACAGACACTGTGGTGCTGGCTGGCGATCTGAACGTCAAAGTTAGAAACTGTCCACTGATGAATTACATCTGGGCGATCAACACGGTGTAGCCTCTCGTAATGATAATGGTGAGCGGTTGCTACACCCGTGTGGAGATATTTGTCTATTTTTCACGAGCACTAAATTCCGAGACAGCACTCGCAGATGGATGACATGGCGCCCACCCACCTCAGACCAGCCATGGACGCAAATTGACCACATCGCGATAAGTTACCGGTGAAGAGGATGTGTCCAGAACTGTCGCTCAATTTGGAACACGAGCGTGGTCGTTGGCCAAGCATTCGTTTGCGCCGATCTTACAGTTCGCCTCGGTGGGCTCATGCAGCATCGTTGTGAGCGCATAGATACATGCTAGTTCGCGAAGCCGATTGTCCTGAATGCGTATCATAATACGCTGGGAACCGGGCTGATTGAGTGTCTTCTAAACACAGCTGAGGGCCACTGATGGCATATTCAATGGATTCTGTTAGCAGCAGGCATGTCTTCATGTGGCAAAAATGGTTTCCAAACTGAACATTTGGTATCTACACAGTCTGTGGAACTTTTGGATGCTCGCCGACACATTCCGGCTGGGAGCGAACACAACAAGACTGGCAAAGACCTCAGGGCGGAACCACCTGCTAGCCTGAATAGAGATCGCGAAGTGTGGTGGTCTCCTCGTCCATCAGAGATGGAAATGGCCGCTGCCCTTGGTAACCATCGGAAGTTATTCCGATTGATATGTTAAACGAGAAAAAGGAGACCTGATGTTGGCGGAATCATACGTGACGGGAGTAAACAGCTGATTCACAGCTTGTCAAAACGCTTGAACTGTTAGGCCGAGTACGTTGAGAAGCAGCTTAACCAGTAGAGTTACCAGATTTTCTTTCGGCTATTGAGCGTCTTTTTCCCTGTGCCATCCCCCTGGACGTGCCTTTAGGCGCAGAAGTCAGAGATGAGATCCGACTGTTAAAAGTGAACAACACCGCAGGAGTGGATGGAATCACTCCAGCCCTGTCCGAATTCGGAGTAGTTGCTCTTGTAGGTGATCTAAAAACTTACGTGTGAAGAGTTGGGAGCAGGAAACCGTCCCAGCAGACTGGAACCGCTCGATTATAGTCCAAGTTTTCAAGGGGACTCAAGTTCTGAGTGACGCAATCATAGAGGGATCATTCTAAACGCAATTGCCTCTAAGATACTCGCCTCTGTGGTTCTTCATAGACTTGCTGACACAGGTGAAAGCCAGATTCGCAAAGAACAAGCCGGGCTTCGTCGCAGTCTCAACTGTATTGATCACATATTCACGTTACGTCAATTGTTGTAGCACAGTCACATGTTATCAGCTAGCCACCGTAGTTGTGCTCCGCGACATTAAAGGTGCCTTCGAGTCGATGTATTGATGTGTTCATTGGGAGTATCTACTTGGGAACAATATATAAACATTATCCAAGAGCATAGTTCGGGCAGAGCGAGAGCTTACGGCAAACTATCGCCGCGCTTCAATATCTCCAGCGGTGTGATACAAGGATGTCAGCTGTCGCCTTTCCTTTTTGACTTCTCCATCGACAAAGTCGTGGAAACTGCGTTCACTGAACAAGACCTGCAAGGCGTGGAACTGCTCCCACATGAACGAATGTTTGCCTCGGAGTACGCGGACGACATTGCCTTTATCTGTGACAGTGTTTAAACGTGCTAAGTATCATTGGACAATTTAGCATTGGCTGTTAGTCATATCGAGCTATGCTTTGCAACCTCGAAATGCAAAGTCCCTCTGCAAGATTGACAGGGACTCACTCTTGCGCTGACCTTCGGTGGTGATCATCTAGAAGTCGTCGGGAAATGCAAGTATCTAGGCAGCGATATCAGCCCAACTTGAATAGAAGATGAGATCACAAGACACAAAGCAAAAGCTCGAGGCGTTTTTGCCAAGCTCCGCCATCTGTGGTGCAGACGCGACATCACTCTCGCCCTGACGACAGGAGTTTCCAATACAGTCGTCTGTTCAACCCTACTGTGCGGTTGCGAAACAGGACCTATCAGGTTGACAGATAATAATCGATAATCGGTAATCGTTACCATCGCGGCTTAGCTCATGTCCGTTGGGAACACCGTGTGAGCAATAAACGTGTTTGACGTCGTCTATTTGATACAAGAAAAGCGCGTGAACCGCCCGACACCGTTATATCACACATCAGGCTCCGATGGTTAGGCAACATGTTGCGCATGCTAACACACTGGCTCCCGCATTGTGCATTGTTTGCGCGCCGGGCTGTGTATGGAAGTCATCATCATCATCATCATCAACAGCAGTACATCAGCCATTTGAACCGATGCTTCGCTGCCGTACAACCATGAGGACCTATGAAATAAAGAATAAAAAGGGAGAGAAGGGGGACTTACCTGAAAACCTTAATGCCCTAAGCAAACATTCAGGGTCAAGGCGCCTACACCTTGTGTTAACAACATACCGTCACAAACAGCTGGCTATCGTGCAAAGATAAGGCGGCATCGGCGAGACAGCTTCCTTGCGGCTTTCACTGCCACGCGTCATAATCAGCCATTACCCCGCAGATAACTCAGCACCAAACACACTTTAAACAGACAATCCGATTAGGAGACGGCAACAGACGCGCCACTGGTGTCGGTTGCGAGCCATGTCCTGTTAAGTCTCGAGCCAAGCACAAGGTGGGTCACGTGGACTCCAACCCGGAAGGCGAGACGGACCAACGGCACCCACTTTGGTCGTCAGTGACTTCATTTCCCGCTACCAAGTCAACTTCTGTCCACCTCGAGCCTTGCGCCATCCGACACCTGGTAGACTGAACAAGGCCCTCCTAGGTAAGCGGTGACCAGGCATGCGTAGCACGTGCCCGAGCCAACGTAACTTATTCAGTGCTATCTGTTGTTCTAGGGAGCTAGCATGATCATCACCACCTAGTACTCGCCTACGCACATCATCGTTGCGGACACGCTGGTGCCATGCGAAACCAGCAATGCTTCGCAAACAACGATGATCAAAGACTTGAAGGCGCCTCAGATCTTCAGACCGAAGGGGCCAAGTTTCACTACCATAGAGCAGAACGGCCCTCACTGTGGCCTTGTGTATGGAAGTGGAGGTAGTGGAGGACAAGCAATGACTTCGTCAAGAGGAGTGAAGTCTCGCACTTCGAAGATAGCGTGGCTTGGTGTGTCCCGACTGCCCGGCAAGGTCTGAAGGACGGCGAGCACGTCTGGTTGGACACACTAGTTGACATAGCAAGGAGCCATTCACAATGGTGTCGGTGTTGTGGGTTTCTTTGTCTTTGCCATCCAACTAGGATCTCTCTCTTGACGCATAATATGTTACTAAGTGGTGTGTTGTCGGCGTTTTGCGTTGGATAATGCTCGGTAACTTGCTTTTTTGTATATAATAACTTTATATACTGCGGCAAAATAGTTAAACTGTGGTTCTTACCTTCAGATAATGTGTAAGAATGAACGCTCACCAAAATGTTGAAGCATATCTATCCATGAAGCTGAACACAATATTTAAAGTTGAATTTAACATTGACAGAAGGAAAGGAAAAGCGTAATAAGAAGGGAAAGTAGCATAGTTATCCGTTTACTTTAAGGTAATCCGTCAGTACGGTTCGTCATTTTAAAACGAAAACCCTGGTATCGTATTGGTGTACCATAGTTTAGACCAAGCTGGTTGATGTCTGGTCCATGAAAGTTTGCTGACACCCAGCTTTTTAAGTCTATGTTATTGCAGTGAACCGGCTCACCCCTTTAAATCCTTCAAGTTTAAAGGAAAACTGGTACTTCGGCATTGATAGTTGATTGACTCACAAATTTACTTGTAATTTGCGCGATCAAAACTTGGATAGCTCATAGGTAATCCTGCTTGCTAGTGGCACGACCGTAAAGGTAGTCCATAATACCGTATTTAGTATTACAATTAAAGCATCAAAAACGTTTACCTGACTAGGTTGTGTTCACAGCTGTTTACGTGATTCGATACAACACTTGTGGTCTTAATATTATAGTGTACAATTCACCATTCGCACCTGACCAACATGTAATATACACCCTACTTACACTGGCTCAGCCATAAATGCAGCAAGGATCATTATTGCCATAATTTCATCCATAAACAGCCGCTCTTTTTAAGCTATCGACTATTAGTGGAATGGTTGGCTCGTACCAGTAGGCTTTCTGTATGCGCCTTGATAAAGCCGGAATCTGTTATTGAGATGTTGGAAGGAGACTTGGAAGTGCAAGATAGATGTATACTCAAAACTGCATAACAGTTTTGTTTATTAACCAAGAACACGACACCGATGGAACGTAACACCAGATATCAAACAGCAACTGCGTAGCGCGTACTGCATCAGCGTGACAGATACGACCATAGAGTAAGGCGTGTGTGATATGAACAAAACACACAACATGCAGTCCAACATTCCGCGACATAGGTGTAAAACAGAACGGAAATCTTGGTTATAATTTCTAGAGACTTACTTACCAATCCCTTTCCTGTTTCGTCACCTGAAGCATCATAATGTGGGGTATCAGAGACGATGGCTCATGCGCTGTCGGATTATCATAAGTCAACTGCACAATTAGTTCTACGAAGCACATTCGAAATTTAAGCATTTCGACTGTGATATAATCAAGCCAAATAGCACCACTGGACACTCAGCTGTCTTGATGCAAGAAATACGTTGGTAACATCTTTCCGTATCAGTTACTGGAAATTATCATCACGCCTACCTTTGATCTCAGTGATATAAATCTGTTTGTAAAATCACACCTTAGACCATCACCATCTTGGTACACCTCTGTTCACTTGTGTTAACCAAACATATCTCATACAGACGATCGGGAACTTCTGTGTTACACTGTAAGTGCAACCCAGGAGTATCTCATAGTCCAGACTCCAATGCTCTGCTGAATAAAAGGCATGCGGTGTTGTGTATTACCTTAACCTACTGTCGTTTTAAATACCAATACGCTTAAACGCTGCGATAACCGCAACCTGCATAATATACCGGTAAAAACTGACGATAACTGCAAGCAGTTGAAGAAAGTAAACAAATGGTGAAACCCGATGCTTCAAATGTAGCATACTGCAGTCAGTCAATGGCTTGGTGGCTTCTTGATGACATCCCTTTTATCGGATGTAACTGCACCTTCTTTATGAACACGTCTACAGCGGCATGCTACGGAAATTCAAAAGAGTAAATTATATATATATATATATATATATATATATATATATATATATATATATATACATAATGTAACCAGAGTGGAGCGGAATACGGTCCAGCCACCGCCTTGTGTGCAACTGATTCCCAAATACCGTGTGCTTGTGTTTGGCTACGAAGGAATGTGAGCCGGCTCCGTTGACGAAACACACCTCCCGATCTTATTCCTTCAGGTTTACACTGAATAGGGTTGTGTGAATGGAGCTGTGGGTGGTGCAGCGCAAACCCCCACGGTCTCTCTGTAGGCGCAGGCATCCTGTAGCTGGCCACAGTGGAAAGCAAATCCGGAACCGGATGCCGCCAACCATGTGACCAGAGTATATACCAGGCCGGCGTTGCCGCAGTCTGTGAGATTGCTGACAGTGAAAAGGGCATACCGGAGTATAAACGAGGATTAGGCAAGGGAGCATAGATCGGTCCAACTGGGATTTGATTTGATCGTTCACTTTTCATCACAAGACCAGGCATCATTCGCATCAGATCGATGGGCAACAATGTGTATGTCGGACGGCTATCAGAAAATCAAGTGCATAGAGAATATATTTTGTACAAAACTATGTCGCCAGTAGTGACGCAAGTAAATGTAGGGAAGGTTTGGATATTATATGGAGAGTAAGATGACGATAATGTAAACTGTATAGTTTAGAGGAACCTGAATTGTAAACGTCAAAGCAAGGGTACTAAATTTATTCCCCTTTAAACAACAATCCACCCCACTACTTGCAACCTAGATAGCACGAGAGTCTAGCTAGTAACCGATTTCCGACCGTTTTCAATTCGATGACTGCCCGAAAAATGTCAGGACAGAAAAATATTTGAATGGAGATCGGACGACCAAGAACCATTTGATAGCCCTTACAAATACTATTTTATGGCTCTTATTAACCAAATGTTTGAATTTCGGCACCTCTCAATCACTTGGTCAACATTCACTCGCATAACACGAGTAACTGAAAAATGCGCGCAGAAGTGACTGTTGGAGCGCTTTGAGTGACCGTTTGTTGTGTCACTCGTCATTCCAATAAGACAAATTTGGGACAAATTTCGGTCAATCAGAAGTTGCTTCCCAAATCGTAATAACGGAATACTGAAGCTGTAAAGCTAGAAGGAAAAGTTTTCGTGTTACTGAAAATCGGCCAAAAGATGTCTTACTGGGACGATCAGGGACAAAGAAACGCTACTCAACGGCAGCACATCGGTCATTCGCGTTGGTCGTAAGTAGTGTTTTGTTAAATAGTGAAGATGTACAGGTTATATGGAATTTGAAACATGTACGCTTTCAGTATTTTGTGGTATTGGATTCTATTCTCGTTTGGGTCTTCCAATCATCCGTTTGTTCTCCTGACGGCACATCCGGTTCACTTTCGAATACCCTATTAGTTGTGTGCTAACTCTCTCTGTGCTATTGCTAATTTGCTTCCAGTTCATTACAGCACTGCACAATACATGTTGGGTCCGGTAACCTTTTTACTTCCGAATAATTGGTATTCCTATTAATTTTTACTGGCTCTCATCGCAATCGGGGACCTCCAGTTGTGATCTCCATCGTAATTATGTTGAATTCCGCATCCAGTTGAGACCGAACCTAGTTGTTTTTGATTACTTTTTCTTCTTTTTCTTGTGTGGTATTCCTTCGTGATATCTCATCTTGACTTTAAACTTCCCGACCTTGCTTCTAATGCCGTTAGGATACCAGACACTCTGTTATATAAACAATATTCTGGTTTTATTGTTAGAGTCGGAATTCACTCGACATAGGATCACTTCCCGTTAATCAAACTGTAGCGCAGCTACTCGCTTGCTTCTCCAGCAACGTAACTCTGCAACTCACGGACCCCTTATTGCAGTTTATTCCTGAGCAGCACAACGAAACACTCAAGCAGGTCGTCAAAAGCAGAATCGCTCAGTGAGCAGACTCGCAATTAGCAGCTGTTTCAAGTCCTGCAATTAGGTGACAAGAACCCCTCCTCGTTCATAAGCAGAATGCGTCAGATGCTGGGCACATCATCTATGGAGGAATCATTACTGCACGAACTCTGGTCACAGTGTTCACTAGAAACAGCACAAGATATACTTACTGCGATTCGACTACAAGCGCCTAGTGATGCTCTCCAGGTAGCCGACGCAGTAGTTGATCGTTTTCGTCCTCAGCTCAATTGCGTCGGTCCACACTTGGCATACCCAATTTACAATCCTTTTGCTGTAGATCTCACTTGCACTTCACATGCGACGCCATCTGCCCCGGCATCACAAGAGTTACCAGCTGTCTTAGTAGAGTTAAAAGCTCTACTCCGCGACTTTAGTGACAAGCCTTCTAATTATAAGGCACGCCGCTTACGCCGCAAATCACATAGCGGAAACGACAACGCAGGGAGTAATCAGTACTGATGGTACCATAGACCCTTTGGTGCTCAGCCCACACGTACCACAACCTGCACCTTTCTTTCGGCTCAACAGGGAAATGATCGGACCAGGACATGAAGACGTCTAACGTCACTGGCCTATCCGAAAGCAGTCAGCTCCTTTACGTTTAGGACTGCAAAGCTGGAACCGCGCTCCTTGTTGACACCGGGGCTGAAGTAAGCGTGGTTCCTCCAGCACCTGGGGGGACGTCTCAACCGGCCATTCTCAGCCTTCGTGCCGCCAACACCGTGCTTATCATATTTATAGACAGCTCCTCTTGAACATTAAGTCAGGTCTACGTAGAACACTTCGCTGTGTGTTCATTAGTGCCCCTGTTCTATTTGCCATTATCGGCAGAGAATTCCTTGGACATTTCGAACTCTCGATCAACGCGAAACAAATGAGGATAGTCAACCCCGTCTCTGACTCCCTCGCTTGCGGCAACCTCACGCATCAGTCCTTGTGTACTGTTATAAATTTCAAACTAGACGTGATTACGAAGTTGGCATTTTACTGCTCCACAAAACTTCTAGCCCAACAGAAGTAAAAAGCAGTACACCAATGGACTTGCCAGAATAAAGTGTTAATCGCCGTCAACAAACTACTTTACAACTGCCATGGAGTTTTGCTGTATATATAGGTCTCTTACTGACCTTCGGCTCCTGGAATTGGAAGGTCAAGCATCAAGGTTAGTGGTTCCCTATAGATTAAGCCGAGATGGCAGCTGGTTGGTAGTCACGCGCAGAACTTAGTACATTCCATAACTTTCGAAAGTAATGCGACAGTCGTTAATAATCGATTAATCGCTTAAATAGCGCAGTTTCTAGACAAAATTTACTTTCTCCCGGACAACTCCCCTTCTG